TTCATGAGTAAACCCAGTTCTAGGCTTTGTTGGGAGACTGTTACTGCTTCAATCTCATTGCTTATTATTGGTCAGTTTAGGTTTTTTTTTATTCTCTTGTTCAATTTTGGAGGTCATGTGTCTAGAAATTTATCCATTTCTTTTACATTTTCCAACTTATTGAAGTATTAGTTTTCAAACTAATTCCTATGACCCTCTCAATTCCAGCTGTGGCTGCTGTAATAGATCCTTTTTCATTTCTAATTTTACTAATTTGGGTTTTTTTTCTCTTTGGCTTGTTGGCTATATTATTATTGGTTAGTTATATATATTATTTATCTTTTCAAAGAACTAATTCTTGGATTCATTGATCCTTTGTATTGTTCAATTTGTCTCTATTTCATTAATTTTAGCTCTGATTTTTATTATTCTTTTCCTTCTACTGATTTTGAGTTTGGCTTTTTCTCAATTTTCTAAGACCTTGAGATGCATTGTTAGGTTGGTTATTCGAGATAGCTTTGTTTGTTTGGGCCAAAACACTAACACCTACAACTTGAAGGTTATGGTTCCAGTCCATGCATAGTTGCCTGGCTCCAAGGCAGAAATGGCATGATGGAAGAATATGGCAGAGGAAAGCAGCCAGGAAGCAGAGAAAGAGGAGGAGCCAATATCAAGAATGCAACCTTCCAGGTCATGCCCCCAATGACTTGACTTTTCCAACCAGGCCCCACTTCTGACTGTGAGGCTTTGGGGGCACATTTTCAATCTAAATCGTAACAGTTGTGTTTCCATTTTCATTTGACTCTAGGAATTTTTAAATTTACCTTTTGGTTTCTTAAATGACTCATTGATTGTTCAGATATATAATTTTCAATCTGCCAGTGTTTGAATAGTTTTAGTAGTTTCTCTTCAGTTCATTTCTGGTATCATTCTATTGTGATCTGATAAGATGGGGAAATTATTTCAATTTTTTTGTTTTTGTAAGACTTATTTAAAAAAAAGACTTATTTTATGGCCCCAGATATCGTCTCTTTTGGAGAAAGTTCCACAAGCTGCTGAAAAGGAGGTATAGTCTACAGTTGTTGGATGGAATATTCCGTGGATGTCTAAGTCTATTTGGTCTATAGTGTAGTTTAACACTGATATCTAGATGAGCTATCTATCAGTGAGACTGGAGTAATAAACTCAACCACTATCATTGTATTAAATCTTTTGTTTTATGAAATTGGGTGTGCTGATGTTTGGTGCATATATATTTGCAATTGTTATATCTTCATAATGAACTTTTCCCTTTGCTAATATGTAATGACTTCCATTGTCTCTTCTAATTTTGTCTTGAAGCCTTCTTTGTTGGTTATGAATACTGCTACTCCTGCTTGTTTTTTTGGGTTCAATTTGCTTGAAATACCATTTTCTACCTTTTTGCTTTTGGTCTGTGTATGCCTTTGCATATACCAAAGAGTTGTTTTTAATCAATCTCCCCATTGTGTCTTTTCATTATAGGGTTAAGACCATTTACATTCAGGATTATTATAGAAAGGTATGTATTAATTCCTATCAATTCAGTGTTTTACTAATGTTTGATTCTTTGCTAATTCTCAACTTATCTATTCTTCCTCTTCGGTGTGTATGATTTATTTACCTATCTTCTGTAATGCTGGCTTAGTGGTTATAAATTACTCTATGCTCATCTTAAAAGGTCGTTATTTCTCCTTTAATTTTGAAGGCTAGCTTTGGTAGACAGTAATCTAGTTGGCAGTTACTTTCTCTCAGGGTTTGAAATATATCATCTCATGCTCTCCTGGCATTTAGGATTTCTACTGAAAGCCTCAATAATAATACAGAGTAAGGAATGGGGAGGTAGTTAGTTCAGTGGTACCACGCCTGCCTGGCAAGAGCAAGGTCCTGAATTTGATCCCAGTACTGCAAAAACAAAGCAAAACAAAACAAAACAAAAACAGAGTAAACTAAAAGGTTAAAAATTAATAAAAGTAAAAATAATAATAAAAGTGTGATTTTAGAGTATAGGAGAAATTGCCTTTGAGAGCTCTGCCCAAACAGTAAGAGAGTGGGTTGCACTTATCCTGTTGTGTTTTTCTGTGAACTTTCTATTTTCTGTCCTCTTTTATCTAAAGCACGTACTGCTCTGTCCCTTTTCTTATCACCTTCAGTTCCTGAACTGTCGTAACTCTCTAGCCTCTTCTCTTTTTTCAATCAGTTAACATATGCATATTCTTGAAATCACTGTAGAAAATACACACATTTGTATTTTCCTCTTTTTATCCTCAGCTCTTCCCTCTAACTCCAGGCTCAAATTAGAATTTTCAACTATGTGTAGGATATCTTCACTTAGATATTTCACTGTTCCCTCAAGTGCAAAGTTAAAACTTCTCTTAGTACCTCCTTTAATGCTCTAATGAAAATGTAGAAAAAAGAGAATATCTGTGTTTGAATTTATTAGCATCTTTAAGCTTCTCCTCCCCTCAAAAAACACTCTGTTACCTTTGTGATAAAAGAAAATAACATTATTTTAATCACTTAGGCTGGAAAATTTAACCACACTAATTCTTCCTTTCATTTGTCACATTAGATCAAGATAATCTTATATTTCCTGGCACCCATTGGATATTTCACTCCTTTTTCTTCCATTCTCACCGCCACTAGGCCTTCCTCTGACCTCTTGCCTTATTAACATCACTCTTCTCACTTACTTAGGCAGAGTTTATTTTCCTTCTATGCCATTCTTTATGCTGCTCTCAGGTTTATTTCCTCTCTTAGTGAGTAAACTGAACAAGCCCTCAAGAGCATGTGTTGAAATTTATTTAAGCATTATGAATTGCCTTAAATTTCTCTCCCTGTTTTGTTTTCTACCTTCTTTACTCAGGGAGCTATTTATCTTCCTTCATGACTTGTGTAAGCTGAAGACCATATGCTAACAGTTAGCTTCATGCCATTAGCAGTGTGATTTCCCTCACCTAAAGTATCTATCCTGGTCCACTGGCAATGTAAATTCTACAGGTTGAGCATCCTTAATCAGAAAACCTGAAATCTGGAATGCTCTAAAACCTGGAACATTCTGTCATGCCAGAAGTGGAACATTCCATACCCGACTTCATGTTATATGTCAAAGTCAAGCTGAAGATAAAGAGATGGACAAATGATTTAGATAATGAGGGAAATTCAACATTAAATCAACCCTTGAAAGAAGCTCAGAGCAAGAGTCAAATTATACCAAAAGCCTGAAAGGGCAAAGCTATGTTTGCCATGACCACTCATGCTTTGGGGACCCAATATGATCAAATGGAAGCATGTAAACCTGAGTGGCTTCATTCATACAATGTAATGGGCCGGGGTTCTAGTAACGTGGCACTATCTTTTGAATTGTATGTCTTTGTGTGTGTGTGTGTGTGTGTGTGTGTGTGCGCGTGTGTGTGCAGTACTGGGAATCAAAACCAAAGGCACTCTACAACTGATCTAAATCCCCAGCCATTTTTACTTTTTACTTTTAGACAGGATCTCATGAAGTTGCCCAGGCTGGCCTTGACCTTGCTGTCCTCTTGCCTCAGTTTCCCAAATTGTAGCTGGGATCCCAGGTATGTGCCACTTTGCCCAGCTGTCTGTCCTCTTAATGAAAGGGAGCCCCGTTTGAAGACCAGCAGGTAGGCTGTGATATTGTGAAATATGTGACAGTGTATATTTTCCTTTCTTTTTTATTTTTTTATTTTTTTACTTTTTTAGTTTTTTGAGACAGGGTCTCGCTATGTGGTTGAGACTGACCTGGAACTCACTATGTAGCCTAGGCTGGTTTTGAACTCCCAGTGATCCTCCTGCCTCAGCCTCCCGAGTGCTGGGATTACAGGCGTGCCCCACCACACCCAGCTTTTCCTCTTTCTTTATTTGACATACTACTCATAAAATCCTTGGAATCTTCAAGAGACTAAGTGTCTTTTGGAAAGCTAATGATTGCTTGATGGCTGGCAGTCCTGAGGTAGTTTCAGTTTGGGGACTGGTTAGTAGAAAGACCACAGCCAAATTACACTGTCGTCCCCCACTGCCACCTACCCCCTAGTCTCCAGGGAGGGGAAGGGGCTGTTGGCTAAACTAACTACCAGTAGTCAGGGATTTCACTGATCATGCCTGTCTAATGAGGCCTCCATAGAATGCAGATGCACTGGGTGTACAGAGCTTTGGACTCGGAGGCTCCTGGAGGTGGTGCTCCTGGACGGGCCCTAAGGATTTTACCCCTTTCCTCTCCACATGACTTGCCCCGTGAGATCTTCATCTGCATCCTGTGTAGTATCCTTTATAACAGACCAGAAAACAAACAAACAAGTCCAGAACAAAACAAAAAACCAATGCAGGAACAATAAAAGCATGGCATAAAATGGTCTTTACACTCTGTGTACCAGGTATGTGTGAAACATAAATGAGTTTCTGTAGTTAAACTTGAGCCTTATTCCCAGATACATCATTATGTATATGCAAATATTCCAAAATCTAGAAAAAAAAGTAAGAGATCTGAAACAATTCTTGTCTCAAGCATTTTGGATGAGGGTTATTCAGTCAGTATTAATATTCCATGTTCTGTAGGAAGTTTTCTTCTGTTGCTCCAAATAGCATTAATCTTTCCCATCTTTGAATTACTACTGGACCTGATAATAACACAAATGATTATACTTGAAAATATCTCATGTATTTAACTTGTCTTGGTTACCAGGCAACTTAGTTATAAGCATCTTGAAGGCTGAAATTGTGTTTATCTTATATTTGAATCTATGAAACATAGTAAATGAAGCACAGTAAAGGTCTCAATGTAGTTTCAAACCCAGTGACTAATATTTAGCATTAAATCTCCCACACGATGTTTTAACGTGATTGCTACAAAATGGAAAAGCAAATAGATAAACACTAACAACAACAACAACTGGATACTTATGTAATATCAAATTAAATCCATAAAACAAAAACTTAATTTTGAGGAGCTAATGCTGAAATCATCAAAATAAAGCATTTATATTTACCTATAGTTTGGATCCAGGATCTTCACACGAAACACATACATTCCAGAGTGGTGCAAGGGCCAAAATATATGGTTATTATTAGAAATGTTGATAATCTCATATGGTTGATCTAAGTCTCCTGGTTTTCCAATAGCATAAGAAAAACAAGACCTATAGTTCTGAAAAAGAAACAAAGACAAGAACAAAGATCATTTTCTGACTAGCAAATAAAATTATATTCTCCTATATTTATCTTGGAATATTATTTAGAGCTACAATGGCTATACCTTTCTATTCCATCATTGCAATGCTATATTGCAGTTTTAGAGCCTTTATTGGGTTAATACTTTATGAAAAGTGAAAGCAAATCTGTTTGTTTTTTGTTGCTGGTGATTGACATCTTATATGCTTAACAGGTGTTGTAGCACTGACCCACGTCTCTAGCCTATGTTTGTTTGTTGGTTGCTTTGGTTTGAGACAGGATTTTACTGTGTACATAGTTCAGGCTGGCTTCGAATTCAGTCTCCTAAGTGCATGCACTACCACATCTGACTATTTTGTATTTTAAAACAATTAGGATGTCATGGGTATGGTGGCTTTCTGTTTTTTTTTTTTTTTTTTTTTTTTTTGAGATAGGGTCTTGCTGAATTGCCCAGACTGGTCTAAAATTTTGTTTGTTTGTTTGTTTGTTTGTTTGTTTTCTGAGACAGGGTCTTGCTTTGTAGGGCAGTCTGGCCTTGAATTCATTAGATAGCCCAGGCTGGCCTCGAAACTCACAGCAATTCTCCTGCCTCTTTCTCCTGAGTGCTGGGACTACAGGTGTGCGCTACAATGCCTGGCTGTTAGCTTATTATTTTCCTAACCAACAAAACATAAAATCCTCCAAACATGCTAACTGCGGAGAGAAGCCATTTAGACACAGTTGAGGTGATATATCCTTGGGTTTTTACTTTTCCTTAGAACTTATATGTATCCCCATTACCACTACTGTGTCTTCTTGTGAGTAGGTCTCATGATACAAAGCACAAATAATGCTGTTTAGTCCCTTGTCCTACCTTTTAAAATCACAGATGAAGCAAGCTTGTGTTTTTATAAACAAAACAAAACAAAACAAAAAACAAGATAAAAATATTGTTAACATTTGCAGGTGACTCATTCTGCAAAAATACGTAGCGTTGCTCCTGGACTCTTTCAGGTCCCATGTGTTTTTTTATGCTCTCACATTCTCCTGAAATGACTGCTCCTCTAGTACTTGTTTGAAGGAAAGAAGAAGCCTTGTGAGGCAATTGCTTGGGCTATGTCTGAGCTTTGGCCCAAGCAGCACCCTTCATAGCTGCTACGGTTTGAACTCGTTATCCACACATCAGTGTGCTTGAAATCTGACGCCCCATGGAGAGGGGTTGGGTGGGGGCCTAATGGGAGTTTTTATATCACTGGGGCACTTGTCCCATGGATGGGTTAATGCATTGCTGTAGAATTCGGTTTGTCATTCTGGGAGTGGCTTCCTTCTGGGTGTGGTCTCTCTCTCTCTCTCTCTCCCTCTGTCTCTCTCTCTCTCTCTCTCTCTCTCTCTCTCTCTCTCTCTTTCTCCCTCTCTCTCCGGTACTGGGATCGAACTCTGGTCTTTGCACTGTTGAGGCAGGTGGCGGAACCACTGAGCCAAATCCCCAGCCTGGCGTGGCCTCGCTTGCTCACTGTTTTGCTTGCCCTTGCCCTTGCCCTCGCCTCCTTGCACTTGTCTATCGGCAGGAAAGCCCTCGCCAGATGTGGGTGTCACGGTGCTGTTGGACTCTGCTCTCTAGTAAAGGCCAGTGAAGTTTACTTCATTATCATTTACCCAATCTTAGGGATTCAGCAGCAGAAAATTCACTCAGAGCATATTTTCCCCCATATACCTCGAAGCTTTTCTCTTTTATGAATGACCTCCCAGTCAGTAGAACCTTGGCATCAGTCAGCTCTTGCATTGTCCCAAAAGGAGTTCCCCATGACAACCCTATGACAAAAGTCTTAATCATAATTAAATGGCGGTAATGCTGAGGTCTAGGAAAAGCTTATCATTTACTTCTGTGTCTCCAATCTGGCACACAGTAGGTGTTGTATTTGCTAACTTAACGTTGAACTTTAACTTTCAGTGTTAAAGTATTTTTGCTTTTTCAATATCTGAGTCTGCTCTACTCTCTGTACCTGCCACGTCTTGCTCTGGACCCACGTTGAATGAGCTCTGTTTCAGGTCTTTTGGGCCAGCTCTGTCCCTCCACTCAAAAGCTTGCTGAGCGTGCTATTTGGTATGCGAGGCAACCTTGCCCTAGTTTCTCGGCAATTTTTGGAAACTTTTATTCAAGCGTGAAGTACCGTTCTCATTATGCCTGTTTTCACTCCACTGGATGTCACAAAATGTGAGGAGATGGACACTTGCCCTACTTTCTGTTATGTCCATCCCAACCATCAGTTATTCTTCATTTCTGCAAGGAGCTGACATTCTCATCAAAGTCTGTAGGTCATTCCACATACAACTTTAATAAGATGAGAATTCCATTATCACTGCTTCCTGAGAAGCAGTTTATGGATATTTCTTCTCCTGCTGTTTTGGTCTATCCAGCGTGTATTACCATTATCGATGGAACCCTGATCTCTTTTTCATGACATTAGTATGAGAGGGTAATTCCAGGTCTCCTCCTTTCATCCCAGAAGTGGACAGGCACAGGTTCTTTCTCTCCCTACTCCAGTGTATAGCTAGGGTGGGGACAGTGCAGCTCAAGTCTGAGTTCTACCAGTGAAATTTCTCTCCCAAGGATTTCAATTATAAATGAGGGGATGCAACAGTGGGAGGAAGGTTTAAAGGCGATCCGTCACTGCAGCAGTGCTCTAACAGATTGAAGGAGAGTTGCTTGGAGTAATAAAATTATAAGCTAAAATGCATTTTTGACAGAAGTTAAGTCCCCGAGTTAAGAGTGAATGTACAGGCCATGCAGACAAGGAGAAGACTGCTTATCATTTGTATTCTGGTAGCAGCAAGTATGAATTCAGCTAGGAGCACAGCTTGGCTAACTGATGAAGGGCCCGCTGATGCTCAGCTGTGTGTACCACTGGCTGGCTGCCTTGGCTGTGTTTCCCTGCCTCATTCTAATGATATTGTGATGTGAAAGATTAAATGAAGTTAGTGGTAGTCAGGGGCACAGAACACATATGTTCCAGCTCCACTTACGAGAGCTGTGGGAAAAGCATGGAAGATGGTACAAATGGAGGATGAGATCACAAGGAACAATACTGGGTTGTACATATTGGGCTCTACTGTCAAGAAATTTTGGGTATACGTCCTGTGGCTTTAGTTAGCCATTGTCAAGGATCCAAATGATTATGTCACACCCACCCTGTATGGTGGCGATCCATTCATGGAAGGAAACTCCAAGGATGCGCGGTGGGTGACTCAAGGACTTGGCTCACGCACTGACAGACATAATCTGCAGAGGCCCTGAAACCATGATCATGATGAGAATAACCTGTGCTGAGCTGTGGGGTCTGTCACTAACTGAGGGTGCTGGGCCTACCTAATAGCAGGACTATAGCTGTCTAGGGAAGAATTTTTGAAGGGACACTGCACACAGACCAGCGATCCTTCGTTTGAGAAGACACGAGGTTCAGAAGTAGGAACAGCCTCAATGGATATGGATGAGGGTCAGTTATTCTAAGGTCTGACTAACAGCCGAAAAGGGTGTCAATCTCTGGGTTGCCATGGAGAAGGTAATACCATGCCGAGAGGCCATCCACACTGGCCCATGTTCAAAATGATTCCCCCCAATGTGATAGAGTTGCACCCAAAGAGAAACTGCTGTGCTTCCCCAACAATGGATGTGACTCTCACTCCTCATCTGTAGCTGAGTGCCTGGTCAATCTTTGTGTCTAGATGTTTGCACTTTTGTCTGTCCTGGATCATGCTGTTCATGTGGCCAAACTCTTCCTATATCCTTTGAATAATTAACAGCCGCCAGATTTACTTGGTGGCATTTAGTTCTTCTTATTTCCTTATTCTCCCCACGTTTTAATGTTTGCAAACACAGGAGAATTGTGGGTACAGTGTTCTATCTTAACTCTATGGACTGGGTTTTGGAGGTAAACTGGAGAGCAGTGTAATTCCTCTGTTTGACTGTGTAATCTCTGATCACACATCAATCTCTTGCTTAGTTCTTTTCTTATCCTTATGTATACTTTAGTATTTACCGTCTGGCATGTAAATGTTTTAAAAAAGGCAAATACTGCTTGCACACTGAAAATTTCCCCTTTTCCTTTCTTAGCAGGCCATTTCTTTTACATGAATGAGTCATCACATAAGTTATGTTTTAATATTTATATATGTAAAACGTGGTTGTTCTTTAATCATAAGGGCCATCCCTAAACTCTTGATTTTGTTCAACTTAGTGAAGTCTTACTATACATCTTGATAAAATGCAAATGATTATTGGAAAAAAAATCTACATCTACCTTTTCTCACCTTTGTCTACTTATCTCCCACTCTAAAAATCTCGAGGACATTTAGACAATAATATGCTGGATGTAGATTAATGAAAAATAAGAGGATCATTTTTATGTACACTAATTTAAAACATAAGACAGTATATATTTTAGTAGCGGAGTCTTTTGGGTCAACACTGGATTATGACACTTCTTGTCCCACTAGGTTAGTTAATACATGGGACTGCAAACTCAACTGAGAGGGTATGTGGCATTCGTTAACCATGTCCCGGAACGGGACGTGCATCCTGTCCTCATAACAAAGCGCTGCTAATAAGGAGTTATTCGCCGTGTATCATTGTATGTATTCCTTGGTATGCAGACATTTGGGAGTGTTTACTGTTGTTTGTAGTTTCTGGCTTTGTTATTTCCTAATAGGAGTGGTGGTCACCTACACCTCTTTTTGTGTCACGCCTAATATTTCCCAGGATATCACTGGACCCCTCCATTACTGCATTTTCTCCCTTCTTTTTTGCAAACCATCTTGTGGTCAAGTCATCTAGTCTCTGAGGAAATAAATCTCCCCTAGTCTTATGAACTACACGCCATTCTAGCTGAGGACTTCTCCATCTAGTGTTTTCAGCCAAAGATTCCAGTCCTGTCCTGAATTACATATATGGAGCCAGCCACTCAGTTCCTATTTTCTGCCGTTGCTTCTTAACCTTAGACATTAACTTGGAAGAACTAGTGAAAATGCCACTTTGGCATATGAGTCTTCCAGGTTTTTTTTTTTTTCCTCGAGAATTTACAGTGCCCAGAGCTACTTCTGAGATCTTCTTTTCTGCAAGGGTCATTCATCCTCATAGAATCAGCACCTCATGGCAATCAGGAATTGGAAGGCTGTTTCTTTTAATTATGATTAATTAATTTTATTGGTACAGTTTAAATACCTGTACGTGATGTAGCTTGATTCCTCTTTGCCCCCATGTCCCTTCCCTCCCTTTAACCTCCCTTCCCCCCATTTGCAAAAGCTTTGTTTCCATTTCTTCTGGAAGGCTATTTCATTTGAAGTTTGTTTCAGCAGGAAGGCATGTATTTTCATGATTGCCACTTTCATACATGTTGACACCTTTCTGCAAGAGCTACCTTCCTCACTAGGATGTAACAGTTGTTTGCAGGTGCCTGCTTTCTATACTCTCCGGACTCAAGATCGAATTCATCCTTTTGTGGTGGGCTTTGTTTCTCAGACAGTAGAGTAGAACATTTAGGGCCTGGGATGCGCTCTCCAAAATCTGTCTAGATTGTAAACTACTCTTTCAACAGTTCCTCAGCAGTATTAGCATTACCTGGGAACTTGTTAGAAATGGGGATTTTGGACCCCGCATCAGATCAACTGAATCAGAAAGTGTGGTGGTGAAGCTAGTGATCTGTTTTAACAGCTCTCCAGGTAATTCTGATGTACAGCAGGGACACCCGCTGTACTAGTTCATATTGATTGACGCAAGCTCCATGGTTGTTCATTTCCCAGCTGGCTCCTTGATCCCTTGGAACATGCTTCCAAATCTTCACAGAATCTAAGAACATCTATGTGGCCTTTGTAAGATTTGGGGATAGAGATAGTATCATTTCTTGCCCTCCTCAGCTCCAGACTCCTGGATGTCCTTCAACAAGAAGTCAGGTGAGTAAGTTTGGTTTGAACTGATTCCCTTGCTAGTTTAATTGCTTATGATTTTTAAATAGTAGAATATAATTATTTATAAGAATCTTTAGTTATTTAGTTAATTCTGTAAATACGTGTTAAGCATCTATACTGGGTCAGATGCTGGGGTTGCAGCAGTGAAAGAAATAAACAAAATTATCTTTCCTCTTGCAGTTTACATTCTAGCAGGGGAGCCAGAAAAATAAGATTAAAAAGTAGGCTGTTTATTGTGTCAGAGAGTTATCATTGTCCACGATAGTAAAGAAAATGGGGACGGCACAGATGGACTTTCCTGGACAGGGCTCTCATGGGTATGGTGGCCAGGGAAATCCTGGTTGACTACTTGATTTTTAGCAAAGTCTTTCCCACCTCCAGGAAAAAATAAGTGAAGTAAGACAGTGGTCCTCTTTTATAAGACTTAATTTCAATGCTTTTACATGGTTATCAGACATTTAATAATCTGTACACACAGGTTTTTGGCAGTGAAAATTAATTTGATAGGGAGAATCCACAAACAAATTGAGATGAAGCATTTTTGATAATTATCAATACAAAGATAAGATTAGATTTACTGAAAGATATTTCAGTCTGCGATGTTTCCATCAAGATTTTGTTAATACCAGAATGCCCAGTTTGTAATTCCACATGGGAAGATTGCAAAGTAATTTTTTTGTGTGTTTTTTTGTATTGGGGATCGAACTCAGGACCTTGCATTTGCCAGGTACATGTGGTGCCATTGAGCTAAATCCCCGGCCCAAGGTCATGTTTTTCTTACCTCCGGTCCCCAGACTTCTTCTAGTGGGAGGTCTGCATTGAGCTCAATCATGGTCTTCCACGTCTGGGCTTCATTTAAACAACCGCTCTGTGAAAAGAGTGCATATATGTGGCCATGTAAAGATGTCATAGCGATTTGTTTGTAAGCATTAATATATGTTGATGCCACTGAAGATTTCATATTCTTAAAATTTTCAGTATTTAAATGTTTGCGGCAACACATAGGAACAATTAACTTTTCTATATTGACCTTGTATTGGGAGAACTTCTTAAACTAATTCAATTGTTTCACACAAAAAGTGTGTCACCTGTGAATATGACAGTTCCATCTCTTGTTTTTCCATTCGTACACCTTTTAAAAAATTTTTATTGCTTATTCTTTATGTAGCACAAGGGTCTCCAACAATGATGTTGCATGAAAATGGTGATACACAGCTACCCTTGTTTCCTAATTTCAGAGGGAAGCCTTTGAAATTTTCACCACTTGTAATATTTGGTACAGATTTTTTTGTATATATATTTTATTAGGTTAAACAACTTACTGTTTAAATTTTAGAAATAATGTTATATACAGATGATAAATTCTTGGCCAAATAACTTTTTTCAACTATTATAATAATATTAGGTCTTTTCTCCTTTATTTTATTAATATGTTAAATGACTTTTATGATCTTTATGGGTTTGTCTATTTTTAGCTATCTCAACTTTCTATGCTTTAAAGCTATATAATTATAATTTTAAAATTTGCACCTTAATTATAATTGTTATTATATTCTTGGTGAACTGAACTTTTATTGTACAAATGTTCTTTTAAAAAACATGGGATCAGAGGAAGGAAAACAATGGCAGAGCGGAGAGTGACAATGACTTAACCTCTCCGAGATTCAGAACCTGAACAAAAGAAACAAAGACAGAAGTGGATTTCCAAAAGCAAGAGGGATCTGACAGGAAAATCGACAGCACAGAGAAATTGAAGGAACAGGATGCAACTCAGAGAAGGGATTGAGACCACGGACGCTTTCCAGCTGGCTCCATAACAGCATCAAACCTAGACAACCCTGAAGAAAGTGAGACACACTCATTACCAAGTGCATGGCAGAAGGATTAACTGTAGAGTTTAAGCTGGATAGGAAAAGAAGGGGAGAAAAATGGGACAGGTAGGGAGAGATGGGAGTGTAGAATGTAACAGGTGTCTAGGTTATACGAGAAAAAGTAAGACACCTAGGGATGGTGGAAATGGCAACGCGAGAGCTGCAGGATTGGGGGTTGAGGTCAGAAGTGGATATGTTTGAATTTAAATGCAGTTCATAGAGGAGCTCTATTAGTCAAGGTAGTCTCTGCAGTGCTGTCGTAATAAACCCCAACTCTCGGGATTTACACAATAAAAATTTAATTCTTGATTACATATAGTCTAATGTTCCTGATGAGATGTTTCATGTGGGTGACCCTTCTTTAAGAAATGAATTAGGAACCAGGCTTTTTCTATCTGCAGGTTGCTTGGATTTCCTTCACTGGACCATTTTCACCCAGCTCTCATCTACTCTATCCTTTATTGCTCTGTAGTACACTGATATGAGGTAAGACAGGAAGCACAGAGGTTAGTGGAATTCCTTTCTAGGTAGTTCTCCCGGAAATGACACACATAACTTCTGCTCATATTCCAGCCGCGAGAACCAGTCATATGGCTTTACCTAGGTGCATTTGTGCTGGGAAATGTAGTCCCTGTTCAGAAACCTTCCCAGCAGTAGCACTGGGTGATGGATAGCAGAATTCAGAAGCCATCTATAATTATCTTCAGATCATGAGGAAAAATGATCATATTCTGAGTACATGACATCGGCAAGTAGGAATGGAACAGATGTCGACTGGATAGTAGGATTCTCAAACGAAGTTTTATCGAAGAGTGGAGAGATGCGTACGGGTGAGAGGATGTGTACCCTCGGTTTGATAGAACTGTAGGGAAAGGTATGTCCTCTGAGGAAACTTATTTACGAAGGATCAAGGAGCATTTAACCATAAGGTATAATGGAAAGGTTGGAGAAAGAAGAGGGTAATGAGAGTCTGGTCCAAGGTAGAAGAAGGATGCAGTAGTTTAGGGATCAGATCGTGAAGAGGAAGTAGACCCGAAGGCTTACGTACTGTATTGGGTGCTGAACACTTACAGAGGAATGTGTGCCGGGGTAGATTTATTTGGTTACATAGTTAAAAGAAAATTAGTTCTTGCATTACTCTGGGAAATGGCAAATGGAACTCAGTTCTCTTAGTTTCCATCAGAGTGAGTTGAACCGCTTAGATAATTAACGTTTCTGGTAGAGAAGAATGTCACTTTGGAAAGAGTCATCCCTGGTGTTGTTTGAGCCTAAAACTCTCGGGGAACCTTAGGAATCAATGCTGATAACTCCTAAAGAGGCTCCATCATGATGGGAGGCTGTCCAAGGCAGATGGGAGGTGAAGTGTGATGATAGCAGCCTTTCTGTTGTGTCCTACAAAATGAAAGGGCAGAATAAGAGGGTTCAGCCGGAGGGCTGATGAACTGGACACGGAGGATGGAAGAGAACTAGGAGGTGCGGAGACACTGACACAAGGCCAGCAGGGTCAAGGAATGCAAGGAGGTCACATGAGTAGAAAAAATGTCTACCTGGTGTAGTACAGTTTGGAGGAAAAAGAAAGTGCTTATATATAATTGCATCATCCTACTACAGAAATTTTTTCTGACCCTTTTGTGTCTGTTCTATGTGACACTGGATTCATTTTTTATAAATGAACTTCAGTAGTCATTTCACTTAGTATGGAGGTGATGTATGCTTTCTACCTTCCTGGTTCTATTTTCCTCAGATATCTCATGGGTAGATGTAAAATGGAAAGCCATGTCTAATCGCATAATAATTTCTGTTTAAATTCAAAGACATCGTACCTGCTTCATGGTATTATTGTAACTGTAGTCATTCCTGCCATGTATTTCCCACAATATGAAATTTACTGCCACATCGTCAACATGGCCACTGTCATCAAATCTGTAAGGAATATCAAACAACAAAAGTAATGGTTTAGTATAAAATAGAGGAGTTAAGAGTTCAAGTCAAATGGGGTCGGGTTTGAATTCTGTTTTTATCACTTGTCATCTTGGTCTTCCCGGGGAAATGACTTAAACTCTTCAAGCTTCCATTTTTTTTTAATCTGTAAAATAGCAGCACCTGCTGTTCGTCAACATGGCCACTGTCATCAAATCTGTAAGGAATATCAAACAACAAAAGTAATGGTTTAGTATAAAATAGAGGAGTTAAGAGTTCAAGTCAAATGGGGTCGGGTTTGAATTCTGTTTTTATCACTTGTTATCTTGGTCTTCCCGGGGAAATGACTTAAACTCTTCAAGCTTCCATTTTTTTTAATCTGTAAAATAGCAGCACCTGCTACATAGGCCTGTTTTGACAGATGAATGGAGGAAGACCTAGCAGTGAAGTAGAAAATTGAAAACATAAGTTCTCTCCATGTTGATAAGACTGCATATCGATGAAGGCAGCTAAGGGCCTTCTGTCTTGGTGACCAGCTGAGAGAAAGAAGGAAAACTGTGGTGAAGGCAGGAAGGGCCAGGCAAGGATCCCCTGATGTTATTCGATCAACAAATGTTCATCTGTTTGCCTTTTGTGTACCGGAGACTGAAACAGAACTCCTGTGATGAGAACTGATACGCTGTAGATTTCCCAGGAGAAGCCAGCTGGGAGATGTGGTGGAGTCAAAGGGTCAGCAGCCCCGGTGAGAGTGGGGTTGGCGGTGCGGATGTGCTCTCTGAGAGCGCGTGCTCAGGGGGCGGAGGCTGTCTCCTGCCCACAGTAGATGCCCCTGCCTGGTGCCAGGGCCGGAAGCAGAGCCCCACTGAACTAGAGTGTTTCCTCAGACCCAGTGAGTTTTTATTTTTCTTTTTATTGAGTTTATTCGTACAGTCTAGGTATACAGTACAGTTACATTCATTACTGGGATCCCAGTGAGTTTTTAAAGAGATGTGGTACTTAGTAATTTTTTTCTGCTATCTAAAAATAGGAGCTTGAGACCACAGCTAGGGTTCAGTCATCGATAAATTCACACGTTAGCATGCCAGAACTCATGACTATAAATCAGTTACCTGGCCTCCTCCATCAGTTATTGTTTATATTTCTTACTGAGTTCTCCCCTCCCCATTGGGTGGAATTTCATTTAGGACCATGGTCTCAGGCACTTGTTTCTAGGCTGCTGACTCTTACCTCATTTTTGGATATAATTTCTCCCTTGGTGGCTTTGTAGTGATTCATAAAGCAGTGTAGGTCTTTGACAGGGTCTCCTTATTCCCTGCCTAGATCTCTGCTTTACCTTGCAACTGTTGTATCTGGTTTATAGGCCTGTAACAACTTGCTACCATACAATGGTTATAAGAAGTTGTTATTGTACCATTCTTGGAAATTGGACAGAAAAAAAAAACCTTTAAGGGCCAAAAAAGAGGTATCTGAGAAGTCATTTTCACTTTCATCTTGATTACTGTTATAAGAAGTTGTTATTGTACCATTCTTGGAAATTGGACAGAAAAAAAAAACCTTTAAGGGTCAAAAAAGAGGTATCTGAGAAGTCATTTTCACTTTCATCTTGATTACTTTGACAAATTATAAAGCGATGAACTCAGATGGTCAATGCTCAAACAGGCACGACTGACTAGGAACTAGAGTACTGATGCTTGACTTCTTTATAAGGGAGAAGAACCACAGAGAATTCTAAAACTCTGATGAACATGGGAGACTCTCTCCACAGAAGAATGTGTGGACACAGACATGGACACATGTATGTACACACACACACACACACACACACACACACACACACACAATCTTACATAGTCTATTTTAGAGATTTGGTTCAATACTAGCAGCTTTGGAAGGAGCAGAATTTTGATTGCATGTGTTGAAAGTCATGAGGCTTGAATTAT